GTCCTCGCAACAAAGTCGACTCAGAAACAACCCTTACTGCCTTTCAAAGTGAGGAAATGGCTAGAGACACTAAGCCCGTATGATAAGCCATACCTTATCGCAGCATTGAAAAATTTTGATTTTTGTAGTTCAGATACAGCTGCCAAAAGTCTAAATATCAGTGTACCGAGTCGCATCTCAGCGTTATAAGCCTGAGGATTCAACCGGTGAATCCATATAGTATGCCTCAAGATGACTAACATTTGAGAATGCTTTTTACTCTTCTATGGTAGAAAAAAGCCTAAACATATCCGTTCCTCGAGACATTTCTCAAGGTGTATTGATTTGCAAACACTAAGTTTTTCGTTCGCTCTCGAGATGAAAAGCAATGGCCAAAACTTAATAAAGACCATCTGAAGCGATAAAAAATTTGACCCAACCGTTCGCATTCATGTATTGACAATGGGAAAACCACGAGTACTAGCTTCTCTGAAATAAAATTCGGATATCTTACATGTCAGTCACTGCGAGAGAAGCTCAGCTAGCTTAGTTTAAACTCATATTCCTCATAGTTTCTCCATGTAACAAAAGGGTGAGAAACATGAAATTGGACACAATCACAGGTATTTGTAGCATGTCGATCACATAATAAAATTACCAATTGTAGACTGGTTAATCATCTACAAAAAGAAATTATACTATAATCACATGCATACAATCAGATTACCAATTTTAGATTCATTATAACGTAATTATAGAACGCACTAGAAATTTTTAACCAAATCATATGTTTATTTACAAAAATTTAATAATACAAATTACAATGAACGGTAATTTTTAAAATTTCTTCCAATAAAAAATAACAACTCTTTTATATTAAACCACTCTGTTCCTTTATCAGTAGTAAGCCATCCATTCTTATTATCAGCCTCATTTTCAAAATTAAAAACTTTAATTTCATTATATCGAATAACTTTAACCTTATGAATGGTTAAAATTTCTCTTTCTCGTTCTGGATTTTGAAGAACAAGAGTTATAACATCCTTTAACATTGGCTCATCTTTTAAGATGCTTGCAATTTCAGTATGAAAGTCAGGCTTAAAAAATTTAAGATATTTAAACCCAGGAGTGTTTGACGAAGCCATTTTGAAAACAATTTTCTTAAATTTGTTATTCGTGAGAGTTTTGAAATAAAGTTTTTTGATGTTTTTCAATAATGAAGGCATTTAATAATTTGTAAATTTAAGATTGTTAAGACAAAAATTCTTGCTGTTAAATAAACTTTTCCTTTGCAAATCTTGCAAATTATTCTTTGTCATCATGATTATAATTGGTTCTAAAAAAATTTCAAATCTATTAACAAATAATAAATCCCATATTTTTTGTATTATTTTAAATTATATAAACCATAGAATTTTATCATTTTTTCAATAAATTAAATTTCTCATTTTTAACAGGTGAGAGAGCCGTTGCTGTGTCTTGCTATTTATCATCTGATCATTCACATTTTACTAACTCTCACTCTGCAATCGCTTATTAATCGACTGATCGACCGATCGACCGATTCTTGTTTAGATGGGAAAGTCTAATAAACCAGGATATTATGCTGTTCGAGTTGGTCGTAAACCGGGTATTTACTATACTTGGAAAGAATGTAAGGCGCAAGTGTGTAAATATTCCAATGCGCGATACAAGAAATTTTACAGTTTAAAACAAGCGCAAGATTTTATTGAAGATAAAAAAGAAAGCATAGAACTTGATCAAAATAGACTTCAAGTCTGGACAGATGGTTGTTCTTATAACAACGGAACACCGAATGCGAGAGCTGGCGTGGGAGTTTTCTTCAGTGAAGGTGATCCCAGAAACCTATCAGAACATCTTCCAGGTGAGCAGCAACCAACAATTATGCAGAGATCTATGCGGTGATTCGTGCATTGGAGGTGTGCGAGGACAAGGGAAAACCATTAGAGATCATAACCGACAGCAAATACGTGATCAACACGATGGAAACCTGGATCAAAAATTGGGAGAAAAACGATTATGTGAATCATGATCATAAACCTGTTAAAAATAGCAATTTGTTCAAGTATTTAAAAAATTTGATAGATAAAAGAACAGGAACGGTGAATTTTGTTCACGTGCGAGGTCATGTTGGTGATTTTGCCAATGAACAGGCGAACAGTTTAGCAAAATTGGGTTCTCTCAAACCATTTTTTGAATGAGATTTCAATATTGTTGAACCAAGAAAACTGAAAAAAATTACAGATTTATTCTAATAATTTGTATTTTATTTATTCATTCGGTTTAATAAAATTTATTACTTTTTTTTTTAATTAATTAATTCCTATTGATTAATGTTTCTGAGATTTGGCAAAAATGAGATTGCCAGTTAGATTTTGCGAGCTTGCTCGCAAAATATCACAAAATCGAGGCGTTTGCCATATTGTAAGAAACCACACCCACACAGAAAAGTGAGAAAGGGAGGGAGGAATATTATTAAGCGATTGCACAAGCCATTTGATTTCAGCGGCCGCTAGAGATCAAAGAGGCGTGCTGCTATTGGGGTCAGAGGCACCTAGACACCGAGAAGCAGCAGTTCATTTGTTCAGTTAAAACATATCAATTTAGTTAAAATTTGTTTTTAATTTAATAAAAGAAATAAAATAATTACAGTATAATTTTCACTGTTCATGATGTATGTGAAACTGAAAATTTTAGTTTCACACACATCATGAATAGTGAAAATCAATCAGAAAACAAACAGCCTCAAGCTGTCTATTCTCTTTACATTTCTCTTTTTTTAATCTTAGTTGCAAGCAGTTCATCTACGATTCTATAAACATTCTTAACTGCTTTATCTACATTCTGATTATATGTGTCTATTTTGAAATTTGTTTCAACTTCTCGTATAAGAAGATCAACATTGAGAAGATGAATGTTTTGGGTGTAATATATGTACACACTAAACAAAATAAACAAAATAAATATAATAAATAATAAAATAAAAATAATGTTTTTAAATAACTTCAAGTAATCTTTTA